CGCATCAGTAGGTCTGTTACCACTGTACATCATTTGTGTTTAGACTGAGCTTTTCCAATGCAAACATTAAACTCAAAATATCAACTCGTGTGGACAGCGCTGAGCAAGCATGCAACCATATGGCATGGCAATATAATGCGGATAAGCAGTCAAGCGTTTGATCGCATTCGATAAGGCAATCCCTCTCATGTGGTGCATTCTCGAGATATGTTGTATTGCGTTCTAATTGTCCAGTTTAAATCTTCACCTCACTGGTAAGTAATGGTTGTAATATGCAGGCATATCTCATGTAAGAACACTGTACTACTTAGATACAAGATTTGATGTAATTCTCTACTCTGAATCTTACCTTTTCTGATATAATGAGTTTAGCATGTTTACTTATGACAAGTTGAACATCACTTCACTCCCATTATGTTATATATATTTTTATATATATTTTTTGTTTGTTTTTTGTTTGTTGAATGTATGCTATTTTATGTGTGATTATTCTGTATTTAATTGTATATGTTCTTGTATTTTTAATGATGAGTGTAAATAAACGAACTTGGACTTGAACTTAAACTTGAAGCATAATCTTCAGAGAAATAATGCACTAGCAACTTAGCAAGTGTTTCTTTTCAAATCTTCTAGCTATTCCTTTAAATCTAATGAGAAAATACATTACTAGATATATGTGATATTTATGTTACATGAGCTTTATTTTGAGGCTTAGAATATAAACTATGAAGATTATTCATTCCACATGACATATATCATTTGTTAGTACAACTCCTTGTATACCGATATGTATTTAAAAAAATATCTGTAAACAAAATTTACAATTGGATTTTCAGCTCTGAGACAGATTTTCCATAAAATATACAATTAAAACAAAAACAGAAAAGTTTTGAAACAGAAAACACATAAAATAGATCAAGGTGCTTTGTTACATCGAAGCTGGTGTCACAAGGCTCTGACAAATATTTGCATCCTCATGCTGGACAAACAGAGATAAGTGTACTATCTAAGCAAGATATGAACACAGCACATCAGGGGGGTGTTTCACAAAGATCCTAAGTTGAAGTTATCTCTAAGTTGGACTTTACAATTATGGAAATCTGTTAGCATCAATGAAAACATTTTGTAAAAGTTATTTTAAAAGGCATAAAATGTTGATTCAAATCATTCATATTTCCTATAATCAAGGAGATTTCATATTTTTCATGTGGAATTTATAAAAAGTCTAAAATACTTCAATATTTTAATTTTTGAATATATTTTATTCTAAGGCTACAAATGGCTCTCCATAATTTTAAGTCCAACTTAGAGTTAAATTCAACTCATGATCTTTGTGAAACACCCCCTGATGTAACAGGGTAAGCCATCTTTCGTAAGTTAATGATATACCACACAAATATAGTGCATTATCACAAATAAGTCCCTATGCGCTGTAATGAAGAAGAACAAAATATTATGGCAATTTATTCTAATGTTCTGCTGATGCAACCTGAAAAGAGCATGACCCATAAAGATTTGTATTTCTTTGAGGGCCGGTAAGGAGAGACTTTTGGGAAGACCTGAGGTTTGTTTTAGGTACATATTGGGTCATTCATTCTGTGTTAAAGAGACAGAGAGAGAAAGAGAGAGAGAGAGTTTTGTCAACTACGTAGTTGTCCAAATTGCAATCTCTCTTTCTCTCTCTCTCTCCCTCTCTCTCTCTCTCTCTTTTTTCTCTCTTTCTCTCTCTCTCTCCCTCCCTCTCTCTCTCTTTTTCTCTCTCTCTCCCTCTCTCTCTCTCTTTAACACAGAATGAATGCCTTTCTGGCTCTAAACAACAAAAAAGATTTCTATTCTGTGAGGTTATAGTTATCATCTGGTTCATAAAGGCATGAATTATATAGTTGACAACTATAGGCGAATTAGCTATGCCGGCAGCGGAATCGGAACCGCAACTGAAAAACTAATAATTATAGATTATAGTAGATTTAAGGCTTCCTTCCAAGACATCAGGATGTCAAAAGCAGCCAGGCAACCATTAATTCTGAGCCATGTTGATACCTAATAAAAGCACATCAGAGTCCATTAATCACCACCCCTCAGCTGTCTTTGCTAGTTTGTCTGCATGTGATGACATACTTTACTCGATAGATCATGTGATATCCTATATCATCCCTCTAGCCATTTTCAAATTGACATGTCTCGGAAAATTATTATTTAAAAACCATGTTTTCAAAAAGAATATGTAGTACCGGTAAGCTCTAATCATCTGGTTAGGAGTGGCTGAAGGCAATTTCTTGAAATTATTCTGTAAAGCCTGAAACCAGGAGATCAGATTACTTGGATCCTTGAATCTTAGGCATGACATCGTTTTGGAATTTTCAATTTTTAACCACGTAACAAGCACTGACGGAAATTGCAACTGGGTCTAATCCATACTTCAAGTTTAAAGACTATCTTAAATTCGCATGAAGTAGTTTTGGTTAACTGTAACACAAATTTAATATTAACCCTATTTTGTCTATTTTAACATGCTGAATATCAATTTAGTACTACTAGGATACTACTGTATACAGGGCAGCGTTGCTTTTGAATTCAATTTAAAAATTTGATTGATATGATTGTCTAGAAATCAGTAAAGTGTCTGCCAAAAGCCAGGAGGGCATTAACTAAAATTCAATATGATAATGCAGGGTTAAAGGGAAATTTAACCTCCATAGCAAGCTACTCTAGAGGAAAGCAAAAAATCAGATAAGTAGACTGGTAAAAGTTTGAATGAAATCAGGAATTTTGTAGTTAAATTGTTTTAGATGTGCATGGAATATAAAGCAAATAATCACCTTTTGGTTTCAGGTGATGGCAAACTATCACTTCCTCGTCGATCAGAATGTATACGCTATATTTCCTCAGCTTCGCTTCGGAAAGATAGCTACATCCAGATCGCCTCGGAAGTGATAGTTTGTCCCATCACCTTCACCAACGGTAGTTATTTGCTTACTATGTCACAATCCATTGATCAAACTGCCAATTTGATATTCACAATAAACTTAGTGATCTCATATTTCAAACATTCTTAACTTTCTTATTATTAGTCCGATTTGTTTCAAACTTTGCCATTCTTTTTATCTTATTTTCCTTTTTTCATACAAATGAACTTATTACATGGGTTGGATTGACCTTTAAATATTAACTGGCTCAAAGCAGATAATTTATCCCATTCAAAGAACCCCTACAGTGCAAAAAAACATGACAGGAGTATGTATGTTGTGCTGATAAGTTACACATATAATCAAAAATATGTGAATGGGAATGTCGCCACAGAAAAAGCAAATTTTAGATAATGCAGTTAGCTTAGTGTTAGAAGGGCACTATATTGAGTTTGAGTGCTATTCAATAACATCCTTTTGACTCTCAGCCGATGATCATATCTATTGAGAGTCTGGAGAGTGTTATAGAATGTGGAGAATGAAAACAATTCATCATAAATTCATCTCTACTTGACAAGCTAAAGTTATAAAATGTAGAGAATGAAAATCATTTATCATAAATTCATCTCTATTTGACAAGCTAAAGTTATAAAATGTTGAGAATGAAAATCATTTATCATACATTTATCTCTATTTTACAAGCTAAAGTTATAAAATGTGGAGAATGAAAACCATTTATCGTAAATTCATCTCTACTTGACAAGCTAAAGTTATAAAATGTATTGAATGAAAGTCATTTATCATACATTCATCTCTACTTGACAAGCTAAAGTTATAAAATGTGGAGAATGAAAACAATTCATCATAAATTCATCTCTACTTGACAAGCTAAAGTTATAAAATGTATTGAATGAAAGTCATTTATCATACATTCATCTCTACTTGACAAGCTAAAGTTATAAAATGTAGAGAATGAAAATCATTTATCATAAATTCATCTCTACTTGACAAGCTAAAGTTATAAAATGTATTGAATGAAAACCATTTATCGTACATTCATCTGTATTTGACAAGCTAAAGTTATAAAATGTAGAGAATGAAAAGCATTTATCATACATTCATCTCTACTTGACAAGCTTAAGTCCTTGGATTAATCAGTCGACCAAAAGAGCATTCATAACTAAGCGCAATGAAGTAGCATCAAAAGACACCTCTGGAATGCACTATGTACAAAGTTGGTGCTACCAGTGAAATAAAAGTTGTAAATTTGACATTATCACGTTTGAATATTGATTTTATACTTCCTCTAAAAGCATCTGGTAACAATGTGGTTTGACAGAAAAGGAGGAGCCCATGGTCTGTCCATAATGACATGTGCAAATATAAAAAGCTATCTTTGAAATATCTTTGTGAAAATAATAGAGTATAAAAGAATACATGTTTCTAAGACAAATACATGTACACGTATCATCTATATGAATTATACTTTGTGCTATTGATTTCATGAGGTAAATACCAGTGGTCTTTTATATAGATTACATTATCTGACAGCCAACTGGCACACACAAAAAAAATGAATTTTCTGAAATCACATGTACGCCTCAAATCCACAGTGAAACCTACAAGAAGTGTGACAGTAGCGTATTCCCATATCTATAGGAGATGAGCAAACCTGTTAAATTTCATGACCTAATTTCCCGAGAAAATCGGCCATCTGAAACTCAACCTAGATAGACAAACTGCCAAGAGGAAAAACGATGTGCCTCTTTCAAAAAAAGGCAAGATGATATGTCTTTCTCTCTTTTTTGCTTTCTCAAAAAGGGGTATAGAAGTGAATGAACTGTATCTTTAATAATGCCCCACTGCACTACTTATAGCTACTTGAGCCCTCTATATAGCCAGTGATGCCTAATCGGTGATCTTTTTTTACGTTAATTGAGAGCTGATTTGATGAGATAACCACCGGTCAGTGACCATGCAGGGAGGTCTAATCCCTCCTGGCCAAACTAGTGCAGATAGGCTTTACTATTTAAAGGAAGATTACAGAGCACAAAATAAATGAAATATTCCGGAGAAGAATTATATACAACTTACCAATCGATTGCCACTGACTTTTCTGCTGGTGACAAGCTGCTGAAAATATAAGGAAAAAAATGAATATTTTTATACTGAAAAAAAAGCATCTAATTATAAATATGTTCTACAATACCCTCTTCGCTTTTGATTGTTATAACTGAAAAAGTTAACTTCTTCTGTCTTCCAAACGACTATCTATATTACTAATACGCAAAATCGCCGCGGGGGGTCCAACACGGGCCAAAACGGTTCCTCAAAAACGTCTTTCCCCGACCCCGCCCGCCTCCGCCGTGGCGCGGGGAGGGCGGTACAATTCCACTAGGCCTGTCTCCCGTAACCCGCGTGCCACGTCGACCCCGCGATTGACGTCCATGCCGTTAAACGCGGTTTCGGGGCGGCCGGGGAGGACGGGCGGACGAGAGCACGGCGGGCGTCGCGGATTGCGAGGAGGCGACGAACCCGCGAGAGCGAGTCGGCAAGGCGTGCACCCGCCCTCTGTCTAATTATCAAAGAGATACACAATGGACGAGAATCCACTCGCGTCAACGGGTGTAGCAAGTCTCATTGTAAAGGTTGCGGCATATCCCGAGTAAGGCCTCTTGCTATAGGATTCGCTTTGTAGCATGTAAGAGAAATACACATCAACAGACGACTCACCCAGGTGATGGGATGTAGCCAATATGTACGCTCAACGGGTTGAGCTTACCCGTGTTATGCGTCTTTCTATAGGATATGCTTTGTAGTACGTGTATTACACGCTCTCAGGTCACACACATGCACACACTACAGTCGATTCGAGTCGAGGCGATTGCGACAACTGGCGCAAACCATGGACCTATTTTCACGTAAAATCTTTACTCTGAAAATAATTATACAAATTCTGTGATCTATGCCAACATAATCATATGTCCAAGGTTCTGTTTTATTGGTCTTTTCATGAAAACTACATCGAAATCACATCAAGAATAGCGCAAAAAGATCTGTGATAGTATGCCTTCACGTGACAGTTCAGTTGCAAACTGCCTTGAGTCCACAGTGTATTGCCACGGCAGCTGAGCGCCGCTGTCGGCGGTGCTGTCGGAGCTGAGTGTGTGAGCATGGAGTAGCGGTGACCGGAGTAGCCAGGTCTGTCCGTGGGTGTGAGGAGAGTCTAAACAACACTTTGAAATTGCTATTATTGCCCCGATTTCAATATAGTTTCGTGAATAGATGTATGAAACCTGGGCTTGGATTGTGATTATTCTGGCAATGTATAGTTGTATACTGAATATCAATAATCATTTTTCAAAGTAAAGTTTTCACAAGAAAATCAGACGGTCGTCATGGTCGTTTAAAAACATGATAATACTTTTAGTATGATACAGTTCTTGCATCAAATCAATTTTTAAAGTATGGGGGGGGGGGGGGGTCAGGTAACTCAAAGCCATTTGAGTGCAGGCGTGGTGTCCACGGGTACAAAGGGCTGAACCCCCGAAAGCTCAGGGGTTTTAGGCATTTAATTACGGTCAGATGAGCATATTTTTAATGCCTTATTTGTGACACTGACAGGTCGATCACTAATTGGCGTGGGGTCCATAGTTGAGTTGCGTACCAACTACGCTGAGCTAAGAGTACGCTGGCCTACGTTACTATACCCTGAGGGACGCAAACAAGTACGCAAGATGGACGCAAACAATTTAATATGTTTAACAAAATTCGCGTACTTAATTCGGCGTAGAAACTTGACGCAGAAAGTACGCCTTTTTTTTACGTAACACTACGCTACTTAACTAAACAAACTGCATCTTTAAATGAATTAATGAAAAATTAGCCCAAGAAAAATTAGCCCCCGAAAGATAAAAAAAGTAGCCCCCAAAATTTTTCCCAAAATTTGATATAGATCGAGTCTCCGAAAAAAAAAATCTTTCACTGGATTCTACGCTCACATGCAGTCCCACACACAGTCGAGTCAATTTGTGCACAAACCGTCCGATTTTTCGCGTAAAATCTTTACTTTGAAAATAATTATACATATTTTGTGAACAATGCCAACATAATCATAATCCAAGCCTCTGCATATGTAGTCTTTTCATGAAACTACATTGAAATCACAACAATAATAATGCAAATAAATAGAAATTATCGAGATCCTATCTGACATAGTTTGTTTTACGATGCGCCATTCATGGTCAAACAGCATATATTATAAAAATTCTCTATATAAAGATAATCTAAATTTTTTTTGGATAGCACATAGGCCTCTATCTATCTATCTATTTGGCCCCCTCCCCTAGAATCCCGTGGATTTTCCACGGGTCCTGCTAGTATATATATATTACCGTCCATTCCAATTTATGATACAGATCACAGGAGCCATAAAGAAATAAAAGATCAGCTAATATTTCAATGTTTATTTTAGAAATCAATCAGCATAATGAATTTTGGATTTGAAATGCCATCATTTCTGACTTCAAAGCTCTCCATGTCCAGGTAGACAGTAACTTGTTGACAAAAGGGTTTAGTTTTCCCAGTCGGCTCTTCCAAAGAATTACTTTCTACATTTACCTGATCTGGCTGGGGGCAATGGGAATGAAGCTAGGTTCCCATGAGAGTCTGTAAACTTTAGTTTAGCTTGTGGTTTTAAACTTTGAGGATTTAGTTCTTCCAGTAGGCTCTTACAAAAGGATTACTTCCTACAATTACCTGAGCTGGCCGGGGGACAGCAAGCTAGGTTTGCACGAGAATTGGTAAACTTAATGTAAGTTTGGCTTGTGGTTTTAAAACTTTGAGGTTACTTGAAGTTTGAACCCATGAGCTATGTTATAGTTATTCAAAATCTAAAGGCAGTGGGTGTCCTTTTTCAAAACGATATTATGTGCCATGTGGTGTGGAAACAGTTGACTTTGAGGTTTGGCCAGCCTCAAGTTACATTGACTGCCTTCCTGTTCCGTAGTTTAGAACCTCAAGCACTCGTTTTGATTCAGTGTGAACCAATGTCAATGTGAGGGGGTAGTTGTTTGAAACGTTGAGAATTAGCAATTTTAAACTAAAACTACAATGGTCCTGCATGAACATGAAAGTTGAGAGAGAATGGAAATCGTTTTGACCAGAAGCTTACCTCATACTGCACGTCTCCAAGTCTGTGTCGTTTGGTCGTAACCGAGGATCGCAGCCATAGCTGAAAATGAACAAAGAAAGTTAGTGTGAAACTGTAAGACAACTGCACCCCATTATAAATGTGTATGTTTCGGGTAAAAAACATTTTTTAACTTGAAGGGTTGGGATAAGTCCAAGGTATTTTATCCCATATATTCTGAACATCAAAGTATTCAGTATAAGCAATGATTCAATCAAGTATTTTCGTATTCTTGATGGTCTGCTTTATCTAGAGAACTAAGCAAATAAATGTAGATACATTGCTTTACTGTGGTAAATTAAAAGCCATACGAAAGCTTAGATTAGAACAAATAACATGGGAAATGACATTTGTAATGTTACTTTCCGGCTACATTTCTTTATTCTTGGACAGCACAGGACAGAAATAATAATCAATGCACTTTGGAAGCACATACTTATATTGCAAGAACATGTATGTTAACACCTTGACTATGGGAATCAAGTGGTCCCTGTGTTCATGCAGCCTATCATAATGAGAGAATTCAGCAGCCATTGGGTTAAATGAGTCAAACCTGCTTTAGTGACCACCTGTCTACAAAGACCACCTGTCTACAAGGACCGCATTTTTTGTTTCCCTTGAAAATGGTTTCTCATTGAAACATGTAGTAAAGGAACCTGTCTACAAAGGCCACTTTTTGTGTTTACCTTGGGCGGTCGCTATAGACAGGTTTGACTGTATTATAACTTTGACAGGAGAAAAACTGCTGCAAAGGTTTTCAATTGAAATTAATCAAAATTTTAAATTTCAATTACAATGTTATTCATGTAATTGTTGATGCATGACATAGTAATATAGCAGTGGACGAAAATGATTACTGTTGCCAATTTGAGGAATAACAGGCAAATCATTTAGCCTTTATTAAATCCCTCTCAAAGATTGATCACTATAGAATTGAGGCAATCGTCCGTATGAGTGACCTTTGCTGACCATAGCTCCTTTGAGATGACCGCCGCTCCCTCGAGATCCAATCGCCTTCAATTTTTCATCTAATATTCCTACGGGCATAATTTTTCATATTGTTCAGGCTTCAATCATCTCTCGTTTTTCATACCGTCTACTGAGAGAGCCAGAAGGGCATTAACTCATAATATTTGACACAGACTTAACACCCTACTGGTTCTCAGGTGAGGATAAATTATTCCAAGAGGTTGAATTTTTCATTTGATTTGGGTGTTTATGCTATCAATCTTTCCCAGTGCCGAGTGGCAACCTTGCATTACTAATTAGGTGCCATTATCAAAGACATGGAGCAGCTTTAGACGCTAATCTTCAATTAACTCAGGGACGATAAATTTCTGCTCGTTATTAATCTAGAACAGACCTTCATATTATATAGTGAAATTCAAATCTCATCAATCAGGATAATGTAATTGCATGATGGTTATTTCATAAAAATGATGATGCAACGTCAATGACAATTTCATGACATCTTCGAAATATGCTTTTCCCCTACCCAGAATGATACCATATAGGTTTGTATAGGCCTGGTCCTCACATTAATGAAAATCAACATTTCTTCCCGTAAACCCATTTACAACTGCACTATCTCTTTCCCTATAAGCTTTAAAACAGGAGTCACCCGGTTCCAGTCGGCAACGGTTTAAATGACAATAATCATTAGATTCATCAAAATACATACAATTTGTGCACTATCTCCAATTTATAGGGAGCATTTCTACCCTACTACTGTTTTTAGATAGAATAGAGTAATCACAAAATATTCCAGTATCCTACCAGGCCTCCATTTTCCTCTTGGGTTGAGAGTGGCAAATGTAGATTAATGATGAATTAAGAGTGATGCAACAGGGATTTGAATCCTTAACCATCTGAATCATTGATCCATGATTCAGTGACATATCCAACAGACCACTTCTCTCCCGGGTTGAGTGGCAAATGTAAATAAATGCCTCACCCCAAAGTCACAAGTGAACCAGCTGAGATTTGAACCCTGAACCTATTGACCTACAATCCAGTGACGTATCTACCTGACCACAACGATGAGTAAAAAATCAGTGAAACTGTCATGGTGGAGAAACAGAATCGTAGGCAAAGTTTTCACTGTTGCACCCTGTAATTATTTCAAAGGACTAAAAGAGTCTTGAAGGGTGGTTAGCTTCTAAGAAAACCCAAGAACTCCTTTTGAAGCCTTTTTTCAGATATCTTATTCCTTTAAAAGAAATTAAATGATTTAACCATGAAAACTGTACCTTCCAGACCATGCAGAACTACTCTACAAAATGAGTCAGTGCCATGGGTGTAATTAAATATTAATGAACTTTCTTGGTGGCGAGGCTGTGTCTTTTAAATATTCAAGCCTGATGAATGGCTTCACCCTCACATTTATTTCATGAAAATAGAGTGGCTTGAATTTTAAAGTCTTATAAATAATACGCATGGTATTGACTTGCAAGAAGGTCAGAAGTTCTTGTTGAAGTGTAAGATTTTTACACCCTTCTGGTTCCGAGCCCATAACATGATGTATAAACTAATTACAAGGGAAGGCTTTGGAATTTATCATCTGAAAATGTGCACGGCATTTTTAATAGGTTTCTGTTATAACCGTAGGCTATAAAAGGCAAGAGCCAGAGCGGCATGCTGCTCTCAACTCTCAAGAGATGTAATAATGCTGCATGTACAAGACACATGTATGCTGTGTGCATTTATTCAAGTTTATTAAAGGACATTGATTTTGGTACAGATCAATAAAATGGAATCTCTTAAAAGCATTCGACCATACTAAAACATGATGAAAAGTTGGAACTCTGGTTCTCAGAATGAGATATTTCAAATAGCTAATATATATGCCATCTGCTGAGAATCAGAGAAGTACTAATATGTTATATTTGGCTTTAGCTTCCTTCTTGCTCACAAAAGGCAATTTGATCTGTTGAAATTCAGAAGGGCATTAACTAAATTACTTTAACTCAGCGGCAAGGCTTGTCTTTTCTGCTCCTCTTCGGACTCACATACAACCTCTTCGACTTGAACTTCATTGGCTGCCTGTTCAACAGAGAATAGCTTTTAAGATCCTACTACTGGTCTACAAGTCTCTCAACTACCGGTGTCCCCCGTACATAGCTGACTGCTTGGTTTGTCGTCCTTGAGTCCGAAATACCCGCTCATCATCATCCATCTGGCTCACTCAGTGTCTCTCTAAGAAACGTGCTGGTGAATTCTCTATTCCATCGGTTGCTGCAAAACTGTGGAACCAGCTACCTACTGCTGTGCATACGGCCTCATTTGTTGACCAGTTCAAGAAACTACTCAAGTCACATCTATTCCGCTAGATATAACTTTATTACCAGCCTACATATACTTTGCTGATCTCTGAGAAGTGTCTAACTTTTGTTTTTAAGTGGCCTAAACATTGTGGAGCGTGTGTGCAGCACTTTGTAACTGCAAGGAAAAGGCGCTATATCAAATATCTTTTGGATTGGATTGGATTGGATTAATGCCCTTCTAATGCCCTTCTGGCGAAAAAAAAAGATGAATACTACTCTGTTTGGAGCAAGAAGGATGCTTAATAACTCATATACTGAGTTAATGCCCTCTGGCTCCAAAAATACAATACATTGTGCACATTACGGACCCATTATGAAACACAAAATGATAAATCATGTAAAAAAGAGAGAGAAATTGTACTTTTCTTACCAACTGACTGTCCTGGGATCGTCGTCCATCGACGCTCTGATCCCGTACAATAAACATGATAGGAGTTTGATGGTGAAGTTGAAGAGACGGATTCGTAAACCTATCACAAGGAAGAGAAAGAAAATACATGATAAAATACAAAATAATAAAAATAAACAAATAAAGGAGAAACAGAATTCAGAGATTGAAGAAAGATCAAGTTAAAGCCTTCAATAGTCTTGTCAGGCACCTCTTTAAATGTAACATGACAATAAAAATGATGTCATCCACAAATGAATTTTTATGGGATATCAAAATTGCCCTTGAGTTGATTTGTAGGAAATAACTGAGATCATGTTAAACAAGTTATAAGTTTAAGAGATCTATAAAGGTGTCACACACAACTAAAAAAGAATAAAATATTTGATAGAAAAGGTTTGCAATGGGTATGTAGACCTATCCAAATAAAGAAAAAGAAGAAACAATATCTAGATTTATTACAAAGTAGGAAAAAGCATGATAGCATGTTTAATGGAAAAGAAGGAAAGGCAGGCTTAGATTTCAGGAAGGAAAGACAATAACAAGCATGATTTGTTCAGTTTATGTAATTATAATCGAAATCTAATCCTGACTATAATCCACAAACAGCCTTCAAAATTCAATGAGCCATTACCCACACTCAAAAAAGTACTTCAGGCACCATAGTTTCCATGAAAACAGTCTACTATCGTCTTCTTTTATTCCATGTTTTTAAATCACTTCTTTCCTGAAACATGAACTCCATAACCATTATATCATCCTATGGTTGGATAGTTCAAATTCACTTTCAAGATGTTTTTCTGGTTTTCCATGACTGACTGAATCGTATTCATTAATATCACTGTTAACTGTTTGAAAAGGTAATATGTGATGTAAATTTGGAATCTCTGGATACAAATTTAGGCAGTTACTTTTGAAAGCAGCATTTTAAGCTGGGTATATTACCATTACCATATTCTGTTTGCATGTGACATTACTTTTAGTAATATCTTCAAGAAATGCGTACACAAACATTTCTTTGCAGCAAAACAATTTGATGTATGTTCAAAGCAATTTTGTTACTCAAAAGTCATCATGAATTTGGAAAGAAAAAGTAAGGCTGTTAACTTTTGATTTCATGTCATGAAATTAAGCAAAGATTAAAACAAAAAAGATGCAAAAGCAGAGCAAAGCCATGAAAGAAAAGAAAAATCAGTAATATAAGGAATTTTGCATTATGAATCAAATAATTAAAGAATCATTCAATCTATATTATGTTATAATAGTTCACACTGTTTCGGGATTGGGAATTTCATCAAGTAATTATGTGAAATAAGTTTTTGTTCAGACATCCTCAAAACCTTGAAAGATGTTGAGGATATTCCATCATAATCACTGCAAAATATTAACTACTTATCAAGATGCATGTGATGTCATATTCCTATATTCTCAATTTTATCTTAAACTTACTTGATCGTTGGTTCTTGATGAAGTATAACTGAAGACGCTCCTTGAATGACTTGTCATCTACGAAGAATTCCACCCGTACTCTGAAAAGATACAATATCGATGGACTGGTCAAAGCAAATGATAAATAGGCTTTCATGCATCACAGCATATAACACCAGCTGGGCGACACATCATGGTATCATCTTTCTGGGACCAGAATGGTGTTAACTCTGTGTAAGATGATATGAGTTATATTGCCCCTCTTTGCTTTTGACCCCTATTTTGACATGGTGGGAAAATCATGGCAAAGAATATAAATCTTTAACTGTGTGTTTTGACTAAGTCTTCCAAAAACAAGCAGTGAAAAATATTTCTTGATGAATTATATTCCCATCAAAGATATATGATGCTTCAATAATTTGACAACAAAATAAAGCATTACAATTACGGTAAGGGTAATTCTGTGTAATGTGTACTGTATGACATGTCTTTATTCAACATATTTCATCCAAAAATTAAGAATATCTTGAAAGAGGATTGGATAATGGTGCTCTCTGGTATCGCCACCATTAACCTGTAGTCATATGTAGAGATATTCCATTCAGGGATGAAATATATAGGTATATCTCACATCTTGTATGGAGCAAATTATACAGAATCACCCTTTTTACTCTTGAAATTCATAATGTTCATTAAGTTATTTGTTTAAAGCCCCAGTCCCATATAAAGCCGGACCAGCACGGACGAGCACGGACCACTCCGGACCATCCCGGACCATGGTCTGGGGTGATCCGGGATGGTCCGGGATGTTTTGTTCAAAAAAGTGTGATGCTGTTAAGCTACAGTCCCATATACGTCCCGGACCGTCCCGGACCATCCCGGACCCCATCCGGGGTGATCCGGGATTCGGTCCGTGTTGACACCGTGTTGGCACCGGGGTGGTCCTGGATGGTCCTGGATGGTCCTGGGCGGTCAATAACTCACTCCCGGACTGCCACGGATCAACACGGACCGCCCCGGCGCCACTACGGATGACCCCGGACCCAGCACGGTGGCTACACGGATCACCCCGGATCAAACTATTGTCCCGGACCGTCCCGGACCACCCCGGCAGTTTTTGACCGTCAAAAACATCCGGGGTCGACTCCCGGACCGCCCAGGACCATCCAGGACCATCCAGGACCATCCAGGACCACCCCGGTGCCAACACGGTGTCAACACGGACCGAATCCCGGATCACCCCGGATGGGGTCCGGGATGGTCCGGGACGGTCCGGGACGTATATGGGACTGTAGCTTAAGAAAAATGGTTTATTCACATAATGTGTAGTCCATAACTATTGGAGGAACAGGCGCCTTTGAATTTTTGAAACAGATAAATAGGCACCATACAAGTGCTGTGGATCATCATCATCATCAAATGTGAAGCCCATATTACATGTCCTTTGCCTCAGTAGTGTATCGCACCCGCCGGTTTCCCCGCAGCTTATGTGAGCAAGGTCTTGGCATTTATATGCACAAAGAAGAAGACTTTGGGGAATATGTACACGTTAAAGAGAAGGTTGAGTTCTGGGAAGAGGTGATAAATAATTTGTGAGCATTACTCATTCTTATTATGCAAGTGTGGAAGAACATCAGTTAAGACATGTTCCCTGAAAAGCATGGCTCTTCAAATGCCTTCATATTCTAAATATGCATGTAACATCGTAAAAATCGGGGGGCCGGCTTTTTACGCCACGTGTTCGTGTAGTCCCATATACATCTTTCTGTGCAAGTGTTTGTAACTTTACCAAGACTTGGCCACGTTTCTTATCATTTTGATGATTCCAGAACCTTGCAATACACACAAATTCTAATATGCTAGATGATCAACCTTTTCTGGTCGGTTCCACCCCGTTTCTTTCACAATGCAATCGCATGACCAGAACTCAACTTCATCTTTAAGTGCACTGTAATGTAGTCACATTGATGTATTATATATGTACAACTCAGACCTTAAAGAGGTGGCTCGTGCATAAATCATTGAGCAAATGGTCTTAGGTTCTACCCGTCAAGACATTTAATACTTCATCCGATAGTGCAGGAATATTAAATGGCGGATAAGTTTTTTTTTTGGAAAAAAAAAGTATAAAAGGCCCCAGCCAGATCTCCATAGGGCTTATAGTTTATTGTGTTAATTTAAATTAAAATCAGAGTTGAATTGTTTCATTCTTTTGCGGTGATCACTAATTCGGAGTAATATCAAACTGTGACTCACATACATGTATATGCCATCACGACGTGTGAATGTTCACCATTATGTTTCTTATTGTTGCTAAAATTTGATGCATATAATATATGCATCTCTTGTTTATGCATGTATGCTTGAGGGAGCATCATATAAAGTACAATTGTCAGCATCAAGCCAGATCGAAGGCCGGCACTGTAACAAAATCAGTGACATTAACTTTGACAAATAGATAGCAACAGCCATGATATCATGGCAAGAATTTTTTCGTGAATTAAGAATAAAATTGTGTTATAAAACTGTCATGAATAGTCAAGGACAGCATTTTTGTGGTTAGAATTTAACAAATTGACATGATTTAAGTATTTCGTGTCATGAATTTTGTTGTGAATCTGAACCTCTCATGAAATTCATGAAAACTTCAGCCATTTAAAAGTTTCATATTTGCAAGTTTTTGGTTTAACAGTAGTTTGACACAGATTTAATGCCCTTCAATATCTAATATATATGAGTCTTTGGTTGTTTGAATCTTGTTTAAAAAAAAAATAAAAAAAATAATAAAGAGTGATTTATTGAGCGCATTATAAACAAAAGTTTCTCTATGCACTTTACAAGATAAAAAATAAGCATGTAGAAGTATATTTAAATAGTTACAAGAACGTCAAATGTCATCCCTAAAATCGACAATGAAGTCTGAATATATAGACAAGGACATTAACCCACCTTAGAGACAGGTAACACATATATAATGGGCGATTATCTTTGGAACTGAGGTGTTTCAATCTATATGCATGAGCAGATCGAAAGCAAAGAATATCCTCTCTAGATTACGTTCTTTGTTGCAGAACAGAACATAGCAGAGAGAGAGAGAGAGGGGGGGGGGAAGCAGATAAAGAAAGAGTGAAAGATAGTCAGGGAGAGAGAGAAAAGGAGAGAGAGAGAGAGAGAAAAGGAGAGAGAAAAGGAGAGAGAGAGAAAAGGAGGGATAGAGTAAGATAGATCATGAGAGAGAGAGGGAGAGAGAAAGAGAGAGAGAGAGGGAGAAAGAGGGAGAAAGAGAGAGGAGGAGGGGTAGGGGGGGGGGGGGGGGGAGGAGGGGTAAAGAGAAGTGTGACGGGAGAAGGGAATAATACATCCAAGCCATGTATACATTATCAAGATGCATAATTCAAGGTTTTCTTTCTAGCTTTATATCTCACCTCAAATGCCAACTGAGATCCACTCCCTATATTTAATTTTCTTTCTCTCACTCCCTGATCACACTTTTCACCATCACATGTTTTCTCATTTCCATTCCAGCTGTCAGGCTAGGCATCAGAGTTTCTAATCCACATATACCCTCCCTTCACCCATATATTTCTTCATCCAAAAAACCCTCTACTGGATGTCAGAAGGGCGCTAACTGTGTGGAACAGTGTATTATTTAATGCTCTTCTGGTTCTGATCAGCAGATCATTTCCATTCCACCTGTCAGCTGGGTTTCACAAGCACTTAAACCAATCTTGCATTAGTGCTAAAAGTCAGAGAGGTAAAAAAGGAGAGATTTCCTCCGTTTTTTTTTAATCTCTGGATAGAGTACCAAAGTACCCATCACAACCATCGCAAAGGGAAATTCAATAGCCATGTGCAAAATATGAAACCAAGACAATGACGTATTACATGATCAAATCATGGTTTCAAAGAGATATTTGAGATAGGGTGCGGAAATTGCCTTCGAGTCAATAATTCCAAAGCTTTCGCTATAACATTTCGGAAATGCTTTGCTTTTTAAGGCTTAAATTTTGAAAATTGTCTCTATACTTTGCCTCTTTCTCGAGAAAAATCATTTTTTCTCTGCTGTTATAGGTGATGCACATTAAGATTGTTAAACATATTTGTCATTATACCCAGGAGAAATGAAATGGCCAAAACATGTTGACCATAGAGTATCTCTTATTTTATTCACTCCACAGATCACGATTCATCTCATTTTGATAGAACACTCCTGGATCAAATATCAAACGGCATATTTTTCAAAAAATATAATAGATGTCATTCCTACCCCTCATTAGATGAATCTACTTTTTCACACACACAAAAGAAGTTAATGGCATCCCGTTTCTCTCTATCATTGGATGCCTATAATTGCTATTTTATGGAGTGATGCATGCATGCCAGATGTACTTTGATAGATAGAGCACTCGTAAATCATTGCAGTCTAATATATTCATAGAAATTGTGCAAAGATAATTGCCAAATTTCCCATGTGTTTCTGGTACAATCTGTGGGGAGAAGGATTAGTATTCATGAAAGAGATCGCAAGCCATGCCAACAATAATAAGTTTCATACATGCTAAAAAAAAATGAAATGATTTAATAACCCCTTTTCAGAAAGTGGGGGAGGGGGACAACTTCACGTTGGACTGAGTGATAAGTCTGTCACCATATGATCACATTTTGGTCATGTGAATAGGCTGCATTATCTACAATTCTTTGCCAGATTTATTTCTGAAGAACGCTTTTAACAAATAACTGCACATATTTTGAAATGTCCTGCATTTTGATATTGCAAAAATGTGGTCTAAAATGTAGTTTTAGTTTATATATTAAGTGTGGAAACGGGTCATAAAGAGATGCATTCGCAATTTAATGGGCTAATCCCATGTTTGAATGTTGCTTATTGATTGTGCCAACTAGGATATGTAGCAAATAGAAATAAAGTTGCAAACATGTAACGTTTTAAACCAGTTAAAAAAAGTAGTCTAGCAAAGTGGAGTTTCTCAAAGAGACGGGAATATATAAAAAGAAGCATATTCTCCCATTTTGCCCTCACCATGACAAACTTTGTCACCCTTTCCTATATCAGAAACAGAAACCTACGGTCGGTCAATCATTG